CTTGTGTTCTCGTTTCCCAGATGTGCTGACGCCAAAGCTTGGAGTCACTAACCTGTTGGAGTACGAGATTCGTCTAACAGATACCCGTCCCGTTCGCTCTCACCCATACAAATTAGCTCCACCCAAAATGGAAACTCTCAGAAAAATCATTGACGAACTTCTGGAAAATGGTGTCATTGAACCTTCCCGTTCGAGCTACGCTAGTCCAGCTTTTCTCGTCCCAAAACCCAATGGCAAGTCCCGAATGGTTTTGGACTATCGCAAATTGAATGCGCAAATTGAAATCGACTCTGTGCCTCTCCCCGATTTGCATTCTGCGTTTGATTGGTTCGGTAAGGCCAAGTATTTTTCTGTTTTTGATCTGAATCAGGCCTATCATCAGATTCCTTTGAAACCTGAGTCTCGACCTCTCACTGCTTTCTGCGTTCCGTGGAATTTGTATCAGTTCACAAGAGTTCCGATGGGTCTTGCTGTGGGGGCCCAGACTCTCACCAGACTCCTTGATTCCATCTTTCATGATGTCAAGTTCAAGTTTGTGTTCAATTACCTCGACGATCTCTTGGTGTACAGTGAGAGCTTCGAAGATCACCTGATTCATCTTGAAGAAGTCATGAGTAGATTGAATAGGGCTGGCCTTACCGTGAATCCTGACAAGGTTAGTTTTGCAAAGCCGGAAATTTCGTTCCTTGGTCATCTTATCTCTCATAGAGGCGTCTGCATCGACCCCGCTAGAACCCAGGCTATCAGGGAGTTTCCTCCTCCCAGAGATGTCAAGGGTATTGCTAGGTTCATCGGCATGGTAGGTTTTTACCGACGCTTCATACCCAATGTTGCTGAATTGGCGGCTCCTCTCAATGAGCTTCGGAAGAAGGGCGCCAAGTTTGTCTGGGGTGAAGCGCAGCAGACGTCTTTTGATCTTCTCAAGGAGGCTATCATGCAGCCCCCTGTTTTGGCGATGCCGGATTTCAATCAAAACTTTGTCTTGCAAACAGATGCTTCCTCCGTCGCAATTGCGGCTGTGTTGTCACAAGAGGTGGATGGTGTTAGGCAGCCAATTGCGTACGCCTCATGCACTTTGAGTCCCTGCGAAAAGAAAAGCTCTTCGGTGTATGAACTCGAGTGTTTGGCTGTCGTGTTTGGAGTCAATAAATTCAGACGCTTTTTGGAGCACAAGGAGTTTTTATTGGAAACCGACAACCAGGCACTCTCGTGGCTTCTTGCACATCCACGCCAGCTTGGGAAAATTGGTCGTTGGGTTGTCCAAATATCGTCCCTTAAGTTCCAAGTGCAACACGTTCGAGGCACTCAGAATGTGATTGCTGACACACTATCTAGGATGTACCATTCACCCGACGATCATCCTTCTGACCAAGAGCAACCGGGTTGTGCCGTGCTCTTGGAGTTTCCACTCGCCTTTTCTGATTTCATTCCCCATCAGCTGAAGGATCCTGAGCTGGCAAAGATCATTGGTGAGCTTCAAAATGGGGAGCCCACCCCCCATATTTTCTGTCCCAGGGTGCCCTTTGCTGTCGCGCTCGGCAGCGAGGTAAACCTAAAGTTGTGCTGCCTAGTCTTCTAATCCCTATGGTCTTTGAGTATTTTCATTCGTCTCCTGTGGTGGGCATCTAGGTATCCACAAGACCATTGCGAAGGTTAGGGAAATGTTCATCTGAAAGGGTATGGATCGGGATCTTGCTGCTAGGGTGCGTTCTTGTCAAACGTGCTCACTGAGCAAGCCCGCTCAAAACTCTAAGTTTGGTTTGTTGTCATCTGAGGTGGCGGAAAGACCTTTGGAGAAGGTTTTCATTGACTATGTAGGGCCTCTCCCGCGTAGCAAGTCAGGAAATAAGTTCTACTTGTTTGTGTGGATGCCTTCTCCAAGTTTTGTTGGCTTTTCCCCTTAAGGAATGCCACTGCACAGCTCACCGTGCAGGTACTTCGAACTCACCTTTCCAACATTTTGGAATACCCGCCACCATTGTTTCCGACAACGGAACACAGTTTGTTTCCCATCTGTTCAAAAGAATGTGCTTTGGGCACGGAATCCGCCATGTGACTACTTCCCCTTACTATCCACAGCCTTCTCATGCTGAAAGGTTCAATCGCAATCTTCGTTCCGCTCTCATAGCTTTCCATGCTGACAAGCAGACCACCTGGGATCAGGAACTCCCTTGGCTTCAGTTTGCTTTCAATACTGCTCACCATGAGAGTCACAAGGCGGTCCCTTTCGAGCTGTTTCTAGGCTATCCCGCCTAACAACCCGTTAGCGAATGTGTGGGGAATTGGCGACCTTCTGCCACCTCCTGGTGCGGCTGATGTCAAGGCAACTTGGCAAGCGGCCAGGAGAAACTTGATCAGAGCTAGGGAATTGGTCCGGAGGAAGCACAATCGTGGTAGAGTAGACAACCCTTTCCAGGTGGGGGATTTGGTGTTTTGTAAAGCTCATCCAGCAGTTCGGCTGTGGACAAGAGAGCTGCAAAGTTGTGTCATCGGTGGTCAGGTCCCCACCGCATCCTGAGGTTTTTGACGCCTGTCACGGCGGAGCTTGGAGATCCGCGGACTGGAAAAGTGTTCGGAGGGCGCACATTTCTCATCTCAAGCCCTTCCGCGGAACTCTCCGTAGGCAATTTTCTTTCCTCTTGTTTCTGGGTGGGAAGTGCACTGGGCAGAGAACCTGATCACTTCTCCTGTCCCCTGTGTTCTGCGAAGGAATTTCCCTCACAAATTTTCCAGCTCTGGCCAGAGCAAACCCTGGGGTGAGTTTTCCCCTCAGTTTGGAAGTCCCTTGGCGTTCCCACCACAGACACTTGAGTTGTCTTTCAGGTCAATCTCTTTTCAGGAAGTGGGGGAGAGGCTTGTTTGTTTGTCCCTTTTGAGAGGAGTGTCCTCTTTTGGGGAGGGAGGTTTGAGCCGTGACTATTTTCCACCGGGCGAATGTCAC